GATGGATACTGTTGATGGATTTCGATTACATCAAATAAGCGACATAAAACATCGAATAGATAAGGAGAGGGAGTTTAGACTTGGATTGTATAAAAAGTATCGTAGAGCCGTAAATGCTCTCGACGGAGTTGACATCGCGCTTGTAATGGCTGGCATGGGACTCGGTGTAGCTGGTGTCGGTTTATTATCAACTATAATCGCCGCGCCTTTCGTACTTCGCATGGAAATAGCGGCTTGAGTCTCAGGACTGGCAGGAATAGCGATAAAATTCATTTCAGTTGCAAAAGAAAGCATTAAAACATGATAATATTCGGATACTCGCCGAAGCAAAGTTGAATAGCATTGAGGACCATATTTCGACAGCACTGGCTGATTGTAAGATATCCGAGGAGGAGTTTCGTTTAGTTTTGTGAGAACTCACCAAGTACAACGCAATGAAGCAGGAGATTCGATCTAAATTCTTGTTAGACCAGTGGTATTAGCAAAGACGAGAAAAAAAAGTTCATAGAACAGGGGAGGCAACAAGCGTGTCAATTATTCCGAACTGGTTGGAGATTAAAAATAGATTGCTTACTATCATTAGATCACATTTAAAAGAATGCTTACATAAATATATAATAAAAGAGAATTACAAACCAACAAAGGAAGAACTCGAAAAAGCTATCAAAGCATTTATGCACAGGGACAAAATTATCAAATGGAGAGAATTACCACAAGGTATATATTATATCAGTGATGTCAAACCAACCAAATACGGTCATCAATTGTTTCTTTCCAATTACCAAGAAGAGTATATAGTCTGGTCTCCTAGTAAAATGAACGAAGAACTTAGTAAAAATGTTGAATATCACTTCGTTAAAAATAATGGTATACGTATTAGCAGAGACCACATAATAAGGGGACGGCCCTCTAGCCTATGCGCGAAACCATCAGTGCTACGGCTTGTACTGCGCAGCCTGTCCGGAAGCGAGCAGAAATGCGTTCACTGCAGTCATCGTTGTTGCCTTTTTTTCCCATGCAAAAGATATATTTCACAATACATAATTACACTCATGTATTTCTTAACATTGTTAACATTACAACTGAGATTTGTTGGTGCCCTAAAGCATGTCGTTGTCACTGTATTTGATGACTGTGATCACGCTTTGTCTTTGTCTGAGAGAACAAAATGGCGCGCATGTAAAATCGGCAAAAGTGCAGATTTTGATTTTCAATAACGGCCTCTATTTCGCAATGAAAGTCCTTGGTTACCTAGGTGTATAAAAAGGAGATATGTTAAAACATGGTTTAGTGCCATTAACAAATTTAGGGCGGATGCGAAATTTCAGATTTTGACTCCAGAAATGGGACTAAATCTGAATTTTCCTGAAATAATTACACCACAACACTTAATTTTCGCATGCTTTCAGGCGAATGTGTTCCTATGATCGGTCCTGAATTTAATAGTTTTACATTCATCACGATTTCCCCTTTGGCTTGGTACCAACGTTATTTAGGTACGATCGGTAGTTTTTTTGGTATGATTTTTGGCGCAAGGCCATATTTTACGTCACATATTTTAAGTTAAATTACCATATAGCAGATGACATAACATGCATTTTGTCTGTGATTATCATCCGCATATATCCTTTGAAACATTCTACAAAGTGACTTATATTGTATGATATTAGAATTGTTTTTGTAAAACGCGTATTTTTTTTACCATTGCTTTCGCCATTTCTTCGTAAGTTTAACATTGTTTCAGTTAGGCTTCTATCACATATCGCGCATATACTATATACTACAATACTGCATATTTGTTATCTTCTGTAGATTTTGTCTGTATAAATCATGACTACATTGAATCAATTATTTATTTTATGCCGTGTAAATATTGATTATGAGCAAAATGATATTGGCCTAAACCCAATCATAATAATATAAATATGATGAAGGTACTACTTACTTTGTGTATTTACACATCAATGAAAACATCATACAAAAATAAAAATCCGTTACATGAAATATTTGTATAATAAAATTATCATTTGCTTTGTAAATGCCAAGAAAGAAGAAGGATTATATCGGCAGTCGTCGGGAGAGAAGTTCCAGCGAATTTACATGAAATAAAAACATTAATATGGCGTCATTTTTTTTCTGGCTAATAGTAAAGCATTTACACCAGTCGGTGATCATGCATTTTTGCAAGTAAATCTAGTCTGGACTTATTATAAGATATGAAGTTAATCTGGAGATATATTTTGTGAACATCGGGAATATGGTGATATGTTACAAGTGTCTTCCCTGCTTCTGGATGAGTTTTATTTACACTTCCTGAGTTCCTGTGCAATTTACCGGATCGTAGTTTTCTGTGGCGTTCGTAGTAGATTTGGTATATTTGTTTATTTATAATAGTTAACAATTGCAGCATAAAATGAGATATGTTAACTGATTTTTAAAACAAATAGAATACGTTATAAAATACTTTTGATATCAGAACGGCTTTTTCTTCACACGCCCTTGAAAACTTACGCTTGTGGACAGACGTCATATTTTTATTTCCTATCTTTTTCTTTGAGTGAAACTTTTTGGGAGGTATTACCAACGGCTTGGTAGCGGTAACATCACTGTCATTCTATTTAGACCAAGAGTCATCCGAAACCAACCCCTGGTCGAAGAGAGGGAATTCTTCAAGTGGCATATCTAGGTCCAAAACGAAATCGTCCAAGTGAATGAAGTCGTCCATGGCTGTAGCGAATGTAAATTGAAATAAATGTCCCGGAAGACACACATGTACAGCAAATAATTTGCAGCCAACTGACATGTTCTAATGAGAGATATCATAAAAAAATCTTTGGAATCCGCTAAGAGACGTCCCTTTATTGGATTGTCGCTGGTCGTAGTCGGAGAAATCTCGGCTAAGGGAATTAACTCTTACCCCGGATATTATGTAATATTGTTTACGTGGTTACCAGAACGGTCAGTCGTGAATGTCTGCGCATCTATTGCGCATCTGCAGCGGTACAGAGAGGTTAACAGCAGGGTGTCGGGGTGTATCAGTTACATGCCAGACCGTAGCGCTGATGGTTTATGATAAACTGTTCAGGGTCTCTGGTATTAGTAAAAATAAGAGAATATTTTCATTACAATTTAGTTTAATGTTATGACGATCGTTAAATCGCATCAGCGTTAACACATGAAAAATTCCCCCTGTAGTGGTGGTATAGGTATACAAATCTGGCTCCAGTGGAAGTGGTCCAGAACCCCCATTACCTATACTACTTTATCTGACTTCAGATATTTTATCATCAAAGGCAAATTTTATGCAAGTTATGAAAGAAATATGCACTATTAACAAAAGAAATACATTGTGAGCCACAACTTTATCTGCAATTTGTTGATAACATAAGGCCTATTTATTTCAGGTGTTTAAAGAAAGCCATTTCACTTCCCTTTTGTACTATTGTTTACCTAGTCACATCTGATAGCATGTATGTGTTTGTCGCTTAACGCTGCACTTGGCAATATTACCATTACTCGACTCAGAACAAGCATGGGTTGCTGAAGAAAACTCTTAACTCAGATCTCAATGGTGGACATCTGATTGTAATTAATATATGATACTTGCTTGAATCATCAACACAAAGAATTTAAGAGTCCTAAAATCTCAAATATCTCCTAGCACTGCACTGCTTAGCTGAATGTCCGAGGAAGTTGCTTCTGTTCCCTTGGTAAAGGTCACATGAAACATGGTACTCGGGCTGAAACGTACGTACATACCTTCAGGTTAAGATAGATCAATGTTTATGAGTTGGTCTATCTCACATGAAAAATCATGAATTACTGCATTTCAGTAACATAGGTTTTGGGGAATTACTAGATTTATGACCGTCAAAAACAGATTCAAGTAAAAATACAAACACAACAAATACCATACCCTATAGTACAAAGCACAAACTATTAACCCATAGCAAATTTAACAAGCAGACAAGGGTTATGGCCACAATGACCAAAGTAACTCTGTGGCAGCCATGTCAAAAACTGGATCTGAATTTTGGGAGCATTATTTAGACAAACAATAAGATGTACAAGTTTAGAATGCTGAGTTGACAAAGTGCTGGGGCTACAGTTACTTTGGGTCACACAAACGAATACAACATGTGGTTTCTTCACCATAGACTGGTAGTTCTGTGCAGTTGACAGACAGCATCTTGGAACTTTCATTAATTTTTAAAACTCCTTTTGACCATGCACTGAGCCTTACATTCTCATGTCATGTATTATGGTATTCCGTAGGAGTATTTTGATTCATTTGAATCTTCAAGGCCCTAATAGTCATAATTAGAAATATCAGCAAGTTTCTGTTCTTTTTGACAAGAGGAACAAGTAACAAATTTCAGCTTCAAATGTCAACAATGTTTCTTCAATCACAACAATACATATAACATGTAATATTGCATAACATTGTTGGAATACACAACAGATAAATTTCCTGTTTGAGTTGTCAAATCCCAATATGCTGGTCTTCCAAAGATATTTTTGTTAATAAATATGCTCCCAAAATGAAATTTGAAGGATGCAGGCATAGACAAAGTTTCACCAACTTCACAAACAAATTTTAATACATGTTGTCAGGATTAATTAATCTGACATCCTGAAGAAAGTTTATCATTACTACATAGTCAGAAAATCCAGGTATCCACACAAGTAAGCTGGCCAGTCTTTACAGGTGTCAGATGACCAGTTGGCAATTTGAGTTACCATACAGAGAGTCTGATGGCGGTCTCAAGATAGATCTTATTGTCAGAGACAAATATTTCACCTCCTAATGATAAATGTGTTTTGTGAGTGTGTGTGTGTGTGGGGGGGGGGGGGGGATTTTTTTGAGCTGAGCATCCATGTACACAGCTTGCTCTTTGGTCTCATGGTGTAAAGCCCATTCAGTTTGTAAAATTCTGTACACCTTATTGACACATTAAAATGTAACTGATAACACAAAAAGAGCTGGAAGTGCTGTGAGGTTGAAATGTGGTGTAAGGTTTTTATTTCCATGTACAATTTACATAATGGCCCTGTAATTTGTATTGGCCAAATCACAAAGGTAATGAACAAAGGACATGCCCCTTCATTGCTTTGTGTGCAAGATGTCTGGCTAGAAAAAACATTGTACGTAATATCTCGAAAGACCATTACTTTCCATTCCTCATGAATCTTTACAAATGAATATAAGTTTTGGAATAGGCAAAATATATCAATTCTAGTAGTATTATTAAATCCATGAGCCCTTCCTGTTGCAGACAACAAAGCTTTGGCTAGCTAGTGGCTCCCCTCCCATGCCCTATTGTGTCGATAGAGGTCGAAGGCCAGCAGCTGTGGTGCAGTGGACAAATGCTCTGATGGGTCTGTCATCCCAAGCAGCTTCAGGTCTGGAGCCTCCTTCTGAAGATCATGGCTCAAGAATTCCAGCAAATCCGGCTCTCGTTGACTTGACGGCTGCAGAAACACATGAAGACATACACTTGAGTTCACCATGACATTCATACCTACTCAGAATACATTAGAGTTATCTGACTAAAGTTCTTGTTTGTAAACTTCAAGTTATGAATAGAGGAAACTGTTGTCCATACATCATAAGATTATGTGTTTGAAATAATTATTTCACTACTGAATGGTCAGCCCTTAACTGACAACAAACATTAGAGTCACAGGGCTCTGCATCTCACCAGAGTGTTTCACAAAATGTCATGAAGGATAAGTAAATGATTGACTGACCTCTCTACTGAGCAGACATAGCCTCACCATCTTTCAATAAATAGCACCAGTGTAACTGGCCAAATCCTGATACTATTGGTAGTCACAGCAGTACTTTAAGGTCAAATGTTGAACATGTGACAAATATCAGAATACACAGAAACATTTACTGTGTTATTATTAGGTTACAATCAGGTCAAAATTGCTGGGAGCAAATTTTTAAGAATCATTGCTACAATCATATACACAAAATTTCAGCTTTATAAACCGAAAGGTTTTAGGAGATGTGTACATATGACAGCCTGCCACAACATGAATAGTTTCCATTCACTGATACTGTTTCGGTATGTCATGGTGACAGGGGAAATTACATGAACATAATTTGTAAAATTTAGTAAAATGTTAATAATTTTTTACATTTGTATACTTATCCTGCATTATTCCTTAATGCATTCACTGCTCACCTTATGACAGAAACAGCGCCTTGCGATGGTCCTCAACTGAAGAAAAAGTTGTTTCCAAACAAGTCTACTTCTGTCTGAGGACCAAACTTGCACAGCTATCACGTGATCGACAGAAGTGACGTCAGGTCTCATCACATTTCTGCTTGTCATATAGTGGGAAAGCAGGCCTGTGACGGTTAGGCCCTAAGACGCAGTAATGCAGGAGAAATATACAAATGTAAAAAATATTTAGATTTTACTAAATGTTTTACTTATCCTGCATTGCGATGGGCATACCTTCAGATGTAATCCTCAAAATGGATAAACCTTTCATAAGACACATGTGTCAAGTGTCAATCGGTATTGCTAGATCAATCCTGTCAGTGGAAAGAAATAGAGAGTTGAGGATAAGTCCAGGTAAAAAAACGTAAGAAAAAAATAGCTTAGTTAAAATCTAAAAACTGAATTACCAATCCAAGGCTGTTAATCAAACCCCGCCCCGCCCCCCACCCCCACCCCCCCTCCCTTCGTCTTCAACAGCCACATCTCTTAGCTATTTCGTTTGCCTGAAGGATGACTGTGCGTAACCATAGTGATATGGTGTTGCGACTGACTACAGTCTTGGATACGGGAATGAACAACCGTTTCACGTTTACCACGCCTAGTCCTAGAGTGGCAATTACTTATAGTGCACGTACAGGGCAAAAGAGGAGTTCTTCCTCATCTTCAACCCCCACAATTGTAGAGATTGGTGGAATGGTGAAGGACTGGTCGGGTTGTCCTGGTAGCTGCTTCTTAGCTGTAAAATCACAGCCTGAAATAAACCATTCACTGTGTACCACGCTCAAAACGAACCCGGGTAATATCAAGAGCATGTAACTCACTAATCCTCACCACTGAGGCTAGAGCCAAGAGAAATATTGTCTTCTTGTTGAGGTTGAAGAAGGAAGTTGCATGGAGGGGCCCGTGCAAACATTCAAAACCCAAGCACGGGGACAGAATTTGGACTTTGGATCTTCAAGCCTCAATGAGCATTGGAGGGCCTGTAGTTCTTGAACTTTAGTCATCTTATGATTCTCTTGAATTGCCAACACTGAATAAAGAGCCACCAAGTACTTAGTAATGGTGCTGCCTTTTAAGTGTAGTTTGGTACGCAAATGTAGGAGGTACTCAGCCAAGAATTGTGGTGAGTCTGTAGTGGGATCTTGAATTTTCACCTTACTACGCGACCAGGGCACGACCAAATCAGATCTAGGCTCTTGGTTGCTTTATTTTGTGTATCAACCAGGGAAGTAGTACAGCTTTTAGCCTTTCCCATAGGATCCTGAATGTGTCCACTGCCCAAGCCTGCGGATCCGGGATCAGTGCGATATACGTCATTTGCCGGTGGTTCTAATACAGGGCAAAGAAGTAAAAGAACGCTGATGCACCAGTTGAAACGCCACTGGGTGGAGCTTCCACTCTGTGGGAGCCACCCTGTCTAGTCTTAATAATGCATCTGCTTGAATGTTCTGGGGATGGGGATGTGCTGGACGAGAAATTGTAGACCCAGTCGATCCACCAGATGAAAGAACCGAAACGTCTAGGTTGTTAATGTGCCATGTGTGCTGAGCACCCCATCCCTGTAGAGGTGTCTATGAACAGGTGTATCTGTGACGCCTCCTAAGACTCTTATCGTCAAGCAACTGAGATGTGTCTTCAGGTGAGATGGTAGAGTGATGGCTGCATATTGGTCTTGACGTCTGATGTAAGATGCCAGGAACTGCTGTATTGGAAGAGCGGGTAGCAGATTTAGATTAGGTTGTCTAAGTTAAAAAACAGGTCTCTGATCGAATGTTTGTAGCAATACGTACAAGTAAGCATGCAAACCAATCTTGTACAATTACCCTGCACTGCTTGCATAAGGTCAGTTGGCATAATTCCGGTAAATTTGGGATGTTTATAGTCAGAGAGTTCTTGAGCCGTGATATTTAAATCACCCTGCGCAGTAACCTTGAATCCCGAATTTTATAGGAGACAAGGTTCGAACTCCAGACTATGACAATCCATTGTGAACTCTGTGGTAGACAGACTGGTGGTGTTTCCGAGTTCTGTGTATGATGTGTGACTTGGCCAGTGTAGGCGCAAGTTGATCTCCATGAAATTTGTGACAACTGGTCCTGTCTTGTGTATGATGATCCCAACAGGTGGGTACCCAGTAGCATATGACGAGTATGTGTATCAAGACTCGATCGTGAGTATGTGATGATCTTCAAGTTTGCTAAAGAGCATGTCTACCAGAAGCTACATCAAACAAATTCTATTCTACAAGAGTACTAACGCCTATAAGTGGATTCGTGAACGTACACCGATAAACAGGGTAAATGGCAGGAACTTTCACAGAACCCTCACCATGAGGCCCGGCGCTGCCTCCGTTGTATGCAAATCAACAGCGTTTCCGATATCTGGTGATTCCTCATATGGTCTATTTGTCTCTGGTGAAAGTTTACCAGTGTCTGTAAGTGGTCTAGATGATTAGCTTTGGTCTCAATCAGGTCTTGTTCAAAGGCCTGGGATGAAGATGCCAAGGCAGAAGAACTTTTTGAGTGAATGTAAGAGCAAGGTAGAAATGCAAAGGTCAAGATCAAAACATAAATTCCATAAATATTAATGTTTTTCAGCAAGGCTGTTGTGGTGGCCATACTGAAAATCAGATTCAAACCTCTTTAACAAATTTGGGTGTCATCATTGGTGGAAACAAGCATGTGAAGTTTTAGCTTCATTGGTTTTGGAGGAAAAGATGTTAATTACTTATGACAGACACATGAAAAGCAGGCCAAGACATAAGCTCACGTGATTTTCAGTCAGGTGAGCTAAAATAGCAGGAATAAATATAAGATATGACAAAGAAATTCACCTTACGACTTTGATACAAGACAGTTTTCCCCTTCAGAGTTATCTCCCTTTCAGTTTTCTGCTGCAGATCTTCAGTAGATGCTTCAAGGCCAACGAGACCATTAAACTGACTGGATTTGAAACACAGGTTCACCTTGGATGCTGCCTGAAAATAACAATCCGTTTCATCTCGTTCATTACTCATTCTAACATTAACAATGCTAACAGATAGAAACAGAGAAGTGGCTTATATCCGCAATCTTGCTCTATCATTCTATAAAAGCCTTACTCATATTTTCCATAAGAAAATAATGAGAAAAACAGTCTACTATGAGTTGCATACTAGCTAATGGCAAAAACAAACTTCCACTATGTTCACACATTTGTAGGCATGGCCAAAGTCAAAGCAAATATTAAGTTTGATAAGGACTTGCTGAATGTGCACAAATTAAAATGAGGTTAAATGACAAAATATCCAGGTGTCAGAAACGTATTTAAAAACACGTGAAAAGTGTTAAGGTCTTTCCACTGCAAGTGCAAAGGTCAGTGACATGGCTACTGCGAGTCATAGGTTCATGTTAGGCAGTCCGTCACGAGACAGGGGCCCTTGAGGTCCCCTGCCTTGACAGCCAGAGATAATGCAACAGCTGGCCTGTCATCTGTGCTGACCTCCATGAACTGTATTGCTACTTTCTCCTCATGAGTAATGTTATTAACAGCAGTGTTTACCTGTAATTACCAGCTTTCTACCGGTGAAATTAGGTTTGGACCAGTAATTCATGTGACTGCCAGCAAATAAAGTACCTTCTAAATCTTTGTTGTTGAACAAAACATTGGTGATATTCATATAAGTATATGTTTCGAACAAAGTCAGTTTGTCTGTTATCATCAGGGTTTCCCCTTGTCTATTTTAAGTGCAAGGAAATAACATTTCGCTTTACTTTGATGTAAAATATATATTTTTTACGACTTAGTCTCGAAATATTCCAAAAGAAGAAGAGAAAATTGTGTCCGAATTTTGTGTGAATGATGTGGAGATCTAACTAAGTTACTTCAGAGATGACGAAATGCATTAAACATGATGTTGAAAGAATTAAAGCCAGCTAATTTTCATACATTTTTCTATTTGTTGAAAGTTAGCAAAAATTAGGGAGAACTGGTGATTTTTAGAATTAGCAGAACTGGCAATTTCAAAAGCCAGCAGGAACACTGTAACATTGCATCAACATGATCAAACTGAACATATATGTCATGCCCCACTACTAACTACACATATGCAAAAGAATAAAATAAAAGCTAATAATAACCACTAATGGGTTCCTAATATGGCTGCCATGTCTAACATGGGATTGGGGCTTTGTATGGAATTTCTTTCTTTTTTTTTAAAAAGGTTAAAATATATCTGGACATATTGTCAAAATTTGAAAATGACAATCTACCAGTATTTTGCATTTAAAAAGTGAAGTAATTAAGATTATGTCCATTGGTTTGTCCATCATCTATCACATCACCAATTAACGTAAACATATAGATAACTTGCTCCCTTTCTATCAGTTTAAATCTGTAGGACATCCAAACACTGGTGTGACATAAGTATAGAATACTAAGCGAGCTCCCGTGTAATACCAATTTTATGAAACGAGTGAATAGCTCTGGTATCTGACGAGCGAAAGCGAGTCAAATACCACAACTATTCAGGAGTTTCATAAAATTTGTTTTACACGGGAGCTCGTTTAGTATTTTATTTATTACTTGCCATTTATAACATTTTTTAGAATTATGCTGTTGAGTGTGAATAGGCTACACGAGTTCAGCATAATCCAATTGAGTTCAACATAATAATTCTTCAAACACGTAAAAAGTTGAAACGTATGAATTTAATACCATACAACCGTTTACCTTCAGAATTCAGGCGTCCGTTCCACAAAACTATCGTAGTGCTAAGGTTATCGCAACTCACATACTTTAACTTAGACCAACGACTGTCGTTGCGCTACAGTACGATCGCCTTGTGGAACGGGGCCTTGCACCTCAAAGTTTACAATCACGTCACTGTACCCAATGACGTAATTTGCGGAATTTTGTTGCAAGATCCATCAGCGAAACAATGCCATGTGATGTCAGCCTAGCAACAAGGTTGCTGGGGTCATCGAGTGTGCATAAGCTCCTCTCAGTGATCCATCATATCCACCCGCAATGTTGTTGAATAAGCCAAGGGATGTCGAGAGCTTTCAATATTTGTTCGTAAAACGTGTTCCGAGAGTACATAAGCACGCGTTTTGGTATTACACAATGTGTAATACAGCTGTATGTTTATTAAACGAGTGATCTCTTCACGGGCAAGTAATAACTAAATGTGTCAGATTATTCTAAAATGAAGTCCCATTTCCGGTGTCCCCCGCCGTGATATTGCTGGAAAATTGCTAAAAGCGGCCTAAAACCATACTCACCCACTCTAAAAATGAAGTATAATGAAGGCTGGTGACCCCTGTATCATGTATATTTTACAGTTAAGTGTTATGAATGATATCATACCAAAGTCTTGAATAAAAAATAAATCCACTTTTTATTTCATATTTGTTTATCATGTTTACATAATTACTGTATGCAAACATTTTGCATGGGGACAACACTTTTTATTTCATTTCTTAAACAGCCATACTCAAAAATCTGTGGAAGTATCTTAATTTCAGCATTTCTGGTCCTCTCAGACACCACCATGCAAGAAAAGGTGAAATTAGTCTCAATGGTTGAGATCATAGGAAGTTTCAGGTTTGCTTGAGGCACTTAACTTGGCCTGTTGTAGCCTGTCACAAAAGCAACATGTAGCCACTTCATTGGACTAATACTGACCTTTACAAACAAATATATTGATTTCTTTTTTAGCCTTTTTACTGATGTTTGTTATATGGTCTCCTGCAGTTTGAGTGATACCGATAAAGTGTACCTTCTTGTTGATGTGTCTGACAGATTGGACCCTGTAGTTTGAGGGGGGATACAGATAACGTGTACCTTCTTGTTGATGTGTCTGACAGATTGGACCCTGTAGTTTGAGGGGGGATACTGATAACGTGTACCTTCTTGTTGATGTGTCTGACAGATTGGACCCTGTAGTTTGAGGGGGGATACTGATAACGTGTACCTTCTTGTTGATGTGTCTGACAGATTGGACCCTGTAGTTTGAGGGGGGATACAGATAACGTGTACCTTCTTGTTGATGTGTCTGACAGATTGGACCCTGTAGTTTGAGGGGGAAACTTATAATGTGTACCTTCTTGTTGATGTGTCTGACAGATTGGACCCTGTAGTTTGAGGGGGGATACTGATAATGTGTACCTTCTTGCTGATGTGTCTGACAGATTGGACCCTGTAGTTTGAGGGGGATACTGATAATGTGTACCTTCTTGTTGATGTGTCTGACAGATTGGACCCTGTAGTTTGAGGGGGGATACTGATAACGTGTACCTTCTTGTTGATGTGTCTGACAGATTGGACCCTGTAGTTTGAGGGGGATACTGATAATGTGTACCTTCTTGTTGATGTGTCTGACAGATTGGACCCTGTAGTTTGAGGGGGGATACAGATAACGTGTACCTTCTTGTTGATGTGTCTGACAGATTGGACCCTGTAGTTTGAGGGGGATACTGATAACGTGTACCTTCTTGATGTGTCTGACAGATTGGACCCTGTAGTTTGAGGGGGGATACAGATAACGTGTACCTTCTTGTTGATGTGTCTGACAGATTGGACCCTGTAGTTTGAGGGGGGATACTGATAACGTGTACCTTCTTGTTGATGTGTCTGACAGATTGGACCCTGTAGTTTGAGGGGGGATACAGATAACGTGTACCTTCTTGTTGATGTGTCTGACAGATTGGACCCTGTAGTTTGAGGGGGGATACTGATAACGTGTACCTTCTTGTTGATGTGTCTGACAGATTGGACCCTGTAGTTTGAGGGGGAAACTGATAATGTGTACCTTCTTGTTGATGTGTCTGACAGATTGGACCCTGTAGTTTGAGGGGGAAACTGATAATGTGTACCTTCTTGTTGATGTGTCTGACAGATTGCACCCTGTAGTTTGAGGGGGATACTGATAACGTGTACCTTCTCGCTGATCTCTGTCCACTTCTCCTGCTGTAGGTGTTCCAGGACAGCAGATGCCACATCAGGAACCAGTCCATCCACTTTTTTCATTTCACTATAAACTTTCAATGAGTTATTATACTCGGGACGTGAAAACACATGTTCCATGTCTGATTCGCTGTCTTCTGCATCAAAGGGGTATTGATACTCTGTGACAATAGGACGCTCTTGTAGTTCCCGTGTGACAACAACCTTCCTCTTTGACGGACCTTTATCAGAGCTGGGAATGATGAAGCTTGGTCTTTCACAGCCTTCACATGCACTTTTGTCAGGCTTCCTTATACCCTTTGATTCATTTTTCACCTTGGGATAACCAAAATCTTTGCCAACACTTACGTCAGAATTCACATCGACTGCTCCATCAGCACAAGCTGTGTCTGATGAGGGGCATCGGTGCGTGTTAGCTTTTGGTTGTGTTAATGTTTCATAAAAATCTGCCTCTGGTTTGTCAGCTTCAAAATACAAATCAGGCCTGTACACTTTACTGCTTATAGTCTTTCCTAAACCTGTCTCCTTATTTGTTATAACATCTGTGGCATAGCTTTTATCATGTGTGTCGTCACTGTCAGCAGCATCGATATCAAATCTTACTTTATATTTCAGTTTACTTTTTGCCTCTGTGTCATTTCTTTCAGTCCTCAAACTACTTTTAGCTTTTGAAATGATAGCTATATTATGTTCTGGCGTCACGGTCAGAAGTGGATCCGGGATCAAGACTGTAGGTGCAGCAGGAGTCACACCAATATCTGAGCGTGTTGCACCATGTCTCAGTTGTGATGTTGCAGTGATGGACTGTGGGGTAAGGCACAAACGTGGATCAGGGTTGGGAAGAGCTTGGCAAACTGATGTTCTATGGGAAGGCAAGTTGTGCTTTCCTGTAGCAACACGATAACGTGACTTATCTGGAGTGACACAAAGTGTAGGGTCAATCTGACCCCCATATAGAGATGCTGGCTTTACAGATGGTACTGGTGCAGATACAAGAGGCATAAAATCGCCCAGAATGTCTTCATTATATGCAAACCTAGTGTGTAATTCTTTTGGATAGTTCAGAGGTTCATATTCAGATACAGGTTCATAGCCCCTGCTCCTGGCTCCAGAAGGGCTGTAGCTGTAAGGGCTGGGCTCCATTCTGTGACATGCAGTCATGATGACCATGTCAACCACTCACCCTTCAGCAGCTGCTTGTCTGTTCACTTCACATCCTGGAATTTAGAAAAATAATACTAGAACAATAAAGTTTTAGAATCACTCAAGATGTTATGGTACACAAACATTTAAAAATGAAATTAATGCCACAACCAATTTTAAGTGAGTGTAGACAACTAGCCTTAATCATGAAATAAATTCTAGTAACCCATCTTTGAATTTTAGAAGCTTATCATGATATGATAACTCCACAAGCAGTAAAACTCCAAATAAGGCATATTCAAATGAGATTGTAAAGGTTCCAAGTGTTGTTACATGAGTCAGTTCAATCAATTATTTTACAAAATTAAAAATATATATATTTACATTGCATTTTTTACAGATTATCACCTGCAAAGTAATTCAGATAATAAAACGGTTATGTTCAATCATTGTGTCATATTATGTGCTTTTGATGTGTTTTAAATGGGAATAAAATGCATTGTTTGGCTGTCCCCGTGCATTCATCTTCAAATTTGAGAAATTTAGTAAAATCTAAATATTTTTACATTTGTATACTTATCCTGCATTACTCCTTAATGCATTCACTGCTTACCTGCTGACAACTAGATGGACAGTGCAACTGAGAAGGTCCTGGGTGAAGAAATAAAGATGTTGTTCTGAAGTCCCTTTACTGACCTTCCGTCGCTGTCCTGACCTTGCTGACACCTAATGTCATCTTCTTCACATTACTGCCTGTCGCCCGAGCTCTTAGAAAAACATACTTTTGAGGTTTCTGAAGCCAAAGTGGGGAGGCAAGACTTGCGACGGTTGGGCCTTAAACTTAGTAATACAAATGTAAATAATATTTAGATTTTACTAATCTTTTTACTTATCCTGCATTACTCCTTAATGAATCTGTATAGGACGGTTTGGAGGTGGGTAAACCTTCAGAATACAGAAACCTCAATAATTCACACCCTGCAATACGACACCAGTTGGTCGATAACAGTGAAGCGGAAAAATTCTACAGTAGGGTTGTTCAAAAATCAAAACGATTGAACATAGGAATTCCCTATACACACCTAGTAATAAAGAAAATAAAAGCTTATCAGCTTTACTTACTACGTCATAGAGCCATTGTTGACAAACAAGATTGTCTAATATTCTTCCACTGGCGGCAACTGAGTGACTGCACATGGAAGTAGGCTGGCTCTGTATCGGGTGAGTTCATTATTTGCGTCAGGGGTTGGTAACCTGCTGGGTTATAACCAGAGGGCCAAACTTCACACACCTTCAACGTCCTCGAGAGCCACAACGTAAAGATAATGACGAACGAAAAATGTGTCAAACCTTCAGAAATATCCTTTCATGATTGTTCTAATAAAACAATTGCTGCGTAGGGCCATGGTAGGGCTAACACCCTGAGATCGTGAGGGAAATTCGCTCTCGGCGGATTCCGTTTTGACGATCTCGTAGGCCTGTGGGATGACTGCCCGTAACCATAGAGATATGGTGTTTGCAACTAACTTCGGTCATGGACGTAGTAAACACGGGTATAAATAACCGCTTCCTCAAACCACGCCTAGTCTTGGAGCGGCGAATGAAAACTCGAACTGCTCGCACCGAGCCCAGAAGAAATTCATCTTCATGTACGGCTCCCACAATAGTCAATATTGGTGGGATGGTGAAGGAACAGTTGGGTTGGCCTGGTATTTGATTCTAGCATTAAATCCCAGCATAACCCGAGATGCACTGCTCCGTGCGTCCCATGCTCAAAGCGGACCCGGTAGGTGTGGATCACATGTAGTTCGCTCACCCGTGCCGCCATTGCTTATGCCAAGAGAAACCATTGTTTTCTTGGTGTGGTCATAAAATGAGGATGCATAGAGGGGGCCCTCGCAAACCTCGAAGTACCACGTTCAAGTCCCAAGCAGGTGGGCGGAACATGGCCTTCTGATCCTCAAGCCTGAATGAGCATAATAGGGCCTGTAGTTCCGTGACCTTAATCACCTTGTCATTTTCCGGAACAGCCAACACTGAGTTAAGTGCAGCCAATTACGTAGTAATGGTGCTACCTTCCAAGAGTCTTTGGGTACGCAAATGTAGGAGGTATTTCCTCTAGGAATTCTTGTGACCCAATCATGGGGTCTTGATTCTTTCTCAAATGATCCCCACTTGTTATCGTATAGTCCTCTGGGAGAGGAACGATGAACTAAAAGCCCGTGCTGAAATAACCCTTCGCACTTAAACGCCTTTTAAAGATGAACCATGCGTGCAGATGTTGGGTGAGGCAATTTGCTGTGAGGGTGGATGAGTAGGTTGGACCACTGTTAGAGGGGTAGAGGATCGTCTGCTTCTAGATTTTTCTGAGCTCAATGTACCACCCTCTCGCCGGTCAAGGTGAGAGCAAGATACCTTGTCTGCTTGATGCCCTGTATCACCTTGAGATGTAAAACTGGTGGCGGAAAAGGCTGAAATCATCCACCAATCAAGTCTGTGGATCCGGTAATGGGAAGATATACGTCATGAGTTTGGTGGTCTCAGCAAGTAAAAAATAAGTCAAAGTTTGGATGCTGAACTTCTGAAGCAGTAACTGGAATGCTTCTGTTAGAAGTTTCCACTCGGTGAGAGCCACCATGTCTGGACATGATAAGGTATCGGCCAGTATGTTTTGACATCCGGGGATGTGCTGAACTATGAACTGTACTTGCAGCCGATCCACTAGATGTAAAAATCTGAATGTATGTTAAAGTAGAGAGTGGGAGTGTGTTGTTCCCTGATTGCGCAGGCACCACACCGCAGTGCTGTTGTCTGTGGATATTGCGAGTTGAGCTGACTGTAGTTGATTCTGCCAATGTGATGTGTTTATGTGCCACCTTCACTTAGCGCCGGACCATAGCCCTGAGGTTATCTGTTCTTGTAAGTGAACACCCCATCCCTGAAGGGGGGTGTCCACGAACAGGTGTATATTCGGGGAAAACCCGAATAAAGAAACTCCGAAGACATTTAACGCCACCAATTGAAGTAAGGCCCTAGTTTAACCGGTAGAGTGATGGCCTTGAGTGGATCCTGACTCCTGATGTTAGGGTTCAGGAAAAGATGAATTGGTCGCAGTTGTAAGCGGCCCATGCTAGTTAAGTCTGTGCCGAGGTGTGTAATCCTAGCAACACTTGCCATTGGCAAAGCGTGTGTGGTTGGTGTAGAGCAGATGACAACAGGCGTAGAATCTTGTTTCATCTGTCCCTCGAACAGATAGGAGATCCTGGTCTGTCTGGAACAGGCCTCCTATGAACTGAAGCTGATAGGAAGGAGATAACACCCGACTTCGCCTCGTTGATTATCCATCCCAATTAAAAAGATATAGTAGCCGTCTGCCTGGTGAATTCCTGGTGGCGTACTAACGTTGACATGTGTTGATGACACAGTAGATCGTCCTCTATCTACGACTCGAACCAAGTGTTTGTCAAGTGTAGATACGCAGTAATTGGCTTCATTCCTCCTGTAAATAGCCATAGGGTCACTGACATGATAAGTGGGAACACTACCCATTGGTAGTGAACCCCATTGAACTGGACCTGAGGAGTCTACGGTTGGGATGGGTAGTCGAGACTTATCAAGAATCAAACGTATTGATGTTGAGTATGAGAGCTCTCAACGTGGTGAGGCGGCAATAATGTGGACCCTTCAGATAACGTTCGTGGAACGCGGAGAGATTGTGGATCATTCTCATCTTGTCTGGGTCCTTCATGTAAAGACTGGGTTGTGAACCATCTCTACAGCTCTTCTTACCAACAGTTTGTCTATGCTGGATTTTCCAAAGCAAACTGTGGTCAAGGGTGGGGTTACCTCTACGCGTATACGGAAACCTTGATATAGTACGATGAGTACATAATCGTTCTTGAGACTTGTCTCTGCCACGCTCTTTCCCAGTAAGGGAATACTGGTCTTCCTTGAGAGATGAGCGTCGAGGTTTATAATTGCCTGACTTGCCAGCCCGCTGGGATAGACTAAAAGAGGCGTGCTCTAGAGTCTTGAGCACAGTGTCATTCCAAGCTTTTGGGGAACTTGGCGTGCGTGTCTGCAATCTGTTCATTGAACAGGGGAGTAGATGACCAAGGTTGATGTAGCAGCCTGCCCTTGAAACCAGAATCCCAGTTGGAAACACTGTAAAGTCTGGGTGTAACGGTAATCTCAAAAATTACATTAAGAATTTGGCGAGCACATCTACCGTACGTGCATGCCAGGGAACGTGGATAAAGATCTTTGGGCGATTTTTTCCACGACAATATGTCAAACGAGCAAACATAAGTTACGCAATTAAACCATTATTGAAGAAATGGTACAGGGAGAATGCCGTAGAATTGAACAATAATCTATCAGCAAAAATACAAGTTGAAAGTGTATACAATAATTTTATATACGCAACTCAATGTAAACCAAAGCTATATACTTTTAGATATTGGCAAACACTTATGCGTGCAAGCCAACCAACCTGGATGATAATCTTTGTAAGATTTTATCCACGACAATTACTACAATCGCACAAACATAGCTACGCAAATAAAGGATTGTTGATGAAGCAGGACTGGAAGAAGGCCTTAGATTTTATATTAATCTATCGGCAAACATAATTTTAGCGAGTTGAAAGTAGTAGTATAAGTAATGATGGTTCTGGACCACTTCCAATGGAGCCAGATTTATATACCTATACTGCTACTACAGAGGGAATATTTATGCAAAAATGATGATGCGACTCAATGATCGTCATGAGTCTAAACTAAATTGTAATGAAAATATTCTCTATTATTTTTACTCATACGCATACCATTATTTTGAAGAAAGTGATCTTCAACATTTTTACTAAGTTCTTCGTTCATTTTACTAGGAGACCAGACTATACACTCTTTTTCTAAATTGGAAAGAAACAATTGATGACCGTATTTGGTAGGTTTGACATCCCTGATATAATATATACCCTGTGGTAATTCTCGCCATTTGATTGGCTTGTAATCTCCATTATTATAAACTTATGTAAGCATTCGTTTAAATGTGATCCAACGATAGGAAACAATCT